CGTCACTCACACCCTCACCGTTGGTCGGCAAGTCATCATCGTCGGGAACACAGTCGGCCATCAAGACAGGCTCCATACAGACAAGCCTCTGTTCACATTGATAGACGGCCAACTTCTCCCGCAAGGCCGTGATCTCGGCCTCCACCACCTTTTCTCGAGGTGGTTCACTCATCATTGACTTGTTCATCAGCTTTCAGTGGACCATCCAATGTGATCATCGATGGTCTCACGATTTCGGACAATGGGTCCAAGCACGCCTTACTCAACACCTGTGCACTTGACACTATGACGTTAGGGGTTCCTCCATCCCCACTCTTGATTTCGAGTGGTCCAAAATCCCCCTGGTACAGGTAAGCTTCGGCCACGTTGGCCCCAACGGCAAACGGCTTTGCGTCAGCCTGGAGCACTTCAACGATACCGTCTTTATTCCAGAGCATCAAACACTGATGCAGCGATGAAGGAACACACTTGTTGGCGTGGATCCAATCCCGACCAAGCAGTGCATTGTAACTTATCATCCCATCCACCACGAAGAAGGCACTCATCCGCTTCTGTGACCCAACTCCCACGACAACTGGGAGGATTCCCCTGGCAGAAGTGGACCCGCCATTGAAACTTGTCACAAACACTTCTGTTGGGATCAGGTCATTAGTGCTCTTGCCCAACTTCTTCAGCATCCTTGTTGGCATCACATTCACTGCGGCACCATTGTCAACCAAGACCCTCGACATTGGTACATCATCAAGTGTGGCCTTGATGTAGAGAGGTCTCTAATGACGCATCATCTTCGGCTCGGACTCGTTGAAAACAACGACCCTGTTTGATTCCTCACCCGTGGTTCCTTCGTCCACGGCTTTCCCTTTCGCTTCTGCAGCTCGGAGAGATTTCTCCAACTCGTCGAAGTCTGACCCCCATGTGATGTTCTCCACTGGCACACTGGATGACTCTTTCGGGCCTTGATATAACACGTAAAAAGGATATCTTCCCCCATCTTCGCCCAGTAGCCCAACAGCTTTGTGGCCAGCTTCGTACAATTCTTTCAGGATCCGCTACGAACTCTTGTTCTGTTTGGCTGACTCTTCTGCCAAGTCAATTCGACCATTCGTGCGAGCCATCATTGCACTCCACGGCTCAGCCTCAATTGGCAGATCCGCAGACTCGCCAACCAGCTCTGCCGCTGCTGGCTCCTCATTCTCCTCCTCTAAAGTCAGTTGAGCGAAACCGCTCACCAGTTCAGCAACGTTGACCTCCTGAGCAGCTTCGTCCAGTTCTTCAACTTCCATCACGACCTCGCCATCCTCTCCCTGATTTTCTAAATCAATGTGGAAGATCAATGGCAAGATGTAGTTGTTCACCACCACTGGTGGTAGGCTTCCAAACTGGATCGTCATGGGAGGACCTTGGTTGTCATCATCGTCATCCTTGTTCTTTCGATCAAATTTCGACTTCGGCTCCTCTAATTCCAGCATCTCCTCTTCGATAAAGGAGTCATCCGCTTCAGCATCGTACTCAGCCTCTCCCGGGACTCCTTGCTCGTTCCCGTCCCGCTTGTCCTCTACAACTTTTCCAGCACCGGCCACAGTCACTCTCAGACCCGTGGTAGAGTTATCCACATTCACATTTGCTTGCAAGCTTGCAATCCTCCTTCCTTGAGCATTCTTGCGGAGGTACCTTCGATACTGCGTCCTTGTCATCTGGTCAACGGCGATAGGCTGCTGACGACGGACATCGTATGTGTGCCAACCACCCTGTGGCACATTTGGCATCCTGAAAGTTCTCCTGACAGGTGGGGGCCCTCTCACCGGTCGGGCAAGTCCAAAAGGAAGACTTTTGAAAGGTGGGGCACTTTGAGCAACCCACTGTCTACGTTGCCCTCTTCCCCAGGCAGGTGCACGTACTCCCTCGACACTGCGTTCATATGAGGGGTACCTCGGTCTAAACTGTCGTGGTCCCAATCTCTGGTGGACCGTCTGGCTCGGTCCTGCTCCCCCAATGTTTAGCTTTCCACGACACTGGGCACACAGCTTCTCTTCCTCAGCTGGGTCCAAGCGTGGCCCCTCTTGCACTTGGGATGATGAAGCAACTTGGGCCACATCAGAACTACCACTCGGCGGTGGCATTGTATCCACCACCAGCTTGAAGCGCGGCAGGTTGATTTTAGAGAAATCGGGATTGACCATGTTGACACCGACCACGTTTGGGAAAGGGTCTGTGTCAACAATCATGGCCTCCTTCCTCGGCTCTGGGAACTTGAACCGACCCTTCTCAATTGCATCCTGTACAACATTGCGAAACACAACACACATGTTAGTTGAATGAGATGCACTGTTGTGCCATTTACAGTATCGTTTCCCTTTTAATTTTTCGGCTAGCGGGATAGTATGCCCCCCAGTTAACTTAATTTGACCATCTTTGTAAAGCTGGTCGAAAATCAACTCCGATTTTGAAACATCAAAGGAATATTTCCTAGTTTGAATTAGAGCACGATTGAGCTTTCCACCTTGTGGTTCCCCATCGGCCTTGGCCAGAGAAGCACATACATATGGCTTCCCCTGCACAATCTCGGCCAAATCAACTTCAACCTCATCAACATCGCTGCCGACGTTATTCACACCATAGTTTTCAAAATTAGGGAAATATTGTCCACGAGAACCACTTCTCTTATGTTCTTCTTCATGAAGAAGAGATTCATATCTAACAGCGCAGGACATCAATTGAAACAGATCGGAGAACTCCCTATCTTGAAACTTTTTTCGAAGTTCAAAATTCAATCCACCCTGGGCAAGTTTAACAAACTCACGTTCTGTCAAGTTCACAAAACAGCGATTTCTTGCATTTTTAAAATTAGTTAAGAAATGTTCCACCGTTTCTCCTGGCTGTTGGCGCATTCGTGCCAAGTCTGCCATTGTTACTTCTGGCTCAGAACGGTAGAACTGGGCATGGAACATTTGTTCCATTTGCTGCCAAGTTTGAACCGAGTTCGATGGCAAGTTGACGTACCACGCGAATGCAGGGCCGGTCAATGAGTTGCCAAACAAACGCAACTTCAAGAAATCACTCACATCACCACACTGAACCGTGAATCGTCCAACATGCTCGACGGTGGACTGATCCCCAGTCCCGCTGAAGGTGATGAAATCAGGCACGCGAAAACCACGTGGAAAGGGGTAGTATCTATCAACCCAATCCGGATATGGTTTTCGATACACCTGCGGCATCGCTGGTCTAATCCCTAAACCAAACTGATCCGCCAGCATCTGTGCTACTTGATCTCGAATCACATTAATGTCTTGCCCCCCGAGTTGCCCTCCTTGTGGCACAAATCCACCCGGATCCATGCCAAGCCCGTTTGGAGGAGGAGGCACGTTTTGTGGGTAGCCGCGTGGCGGAACATGATCATTGTTGATCGTTCCTCCACCACCAGCACCGCTCATCGGAGCCACGTACGATCTGGCCTCCGGAATATTTTGTGGACCCACATTGTGCACTGGTGGCGGCTCAACACGAGTGTTAGCCGCAGTGTTGGTCTCGCCAGGATTTACTCGACGGACTTGTTGGGTTCACCACCGGTGTCGGCGAAACACCTTGTCTCGGCTGAGTATCTCGGCCGCCATTGACCGGAAAGCTATTGGTGCCAGTGTCGTTGTGTAACAGATTCTCGCCGTTTAACGGCAAAGCCCTTGTTTGCGGCACTGGCCTATTCAAAAACTCTCTAAAATCATTAAAATCACGTCTGTTACTTTCAAAATCCATTCTGTTTTTATCTACGAATTCAACCAGTTGGCTAACACGTCTATCAATCCGAGAACTAAGACCATCAAGACGTCCATCCAAAGAGGCTAAGTGAAGTTTTACCTGTTGGTTATCAGCCATGACTTGGCGAAGCATGCGTGTTATCTCACCCTGGTTGGCAGTTTGCGCCACTGCTGGCACTTCCCCTCCGGCGTCGCTGCTCGAACCGCCGTGTGAACCGCCACTCTGGTCAGTCTCTACATTGACCATTGGCTCTTCCTCCACTGAAGTTGGTGGAAGATCGCCCTCGTGATTCTTCCTTCGCGGAGCCATCCGAACACACGTGTCCCACCGGGTGTGCCAATTTGTTTCGTTGGCGAAACTCGCGCGTTCAATGCGCTCTGATTTCAAGGAAACAAAAACCCAAAGTCAGCAAAAATCGTCAAATATCCGCCACCGAATGTCGGCGCCGTTGATTTGATCGATTAAACAGAAACCAAGACGACTGTCAAATATCCACCGCCAAATATGACTTTTTAGCTCCCCAAATTCCATTTTCACTCCAACCCTACACAAAGCTAAATTTCGCTTCCCATCTCCCTTTTTTTCAATTTATTACAATAAACCATACTTATTTGACCCTAATTTTCATATTTCACTTTAATTATTCTATAGTTAGTTATTACTTTTGAAAACAAAAATTTCGATGTAATTTTTTTTAATTCCGAGACAAAAAATATTTCAGAAAATTAGTCATTATTTTGTTACCGTTAACTTCGGGAGCAATGAGAAAATACCAATTAAACATACAATAATTCATATCTTCTTTCAAACAATTAAACAAACAACATACACAATCAACCAATGACAAAATACCACACAAAAAAAAAGAAAAACAACACAATCAACCAATGAGAAAATTCCACAGAAACAAATGAAAAATAAAAAATAAAGGAGGACCCACCGCGGGTCCACCATTTTCTCTAGCCAAATTTGGCTTTTCCACTCTTTTGGGAGCTAAATTTGGCTCCCAATTCACCAATACTCATTTTTAGCTCCCCAAAATAATGTGGGTTGGAGCACCAAAACAGAGCTAAAAATGGGTAAATGGCTTTTTAGCTCTAGGGTTGGAGTCAGTCTAAAAGATATGATATGCACATGGTCCCTCTTTCTTAGTTTCTCTTTATTTTTATTGCTTGACATAATTTATAGTTCAGGCGCCTAATAATTAGAAATTTAAAAGGTGTGCACTGCATGAGAAAGAACCAAAGGAATCCTCAAGTTCATTGATACCATTCATATTACACGTTGTTACAAATAAACAATAAAACAACAATATAGTATTAATAAAGGTGTCAATCAGCACCAGACACAAGAGAGAGCGAAAAAAAGAGACAGTTGGAAGCACAAATTTAATTATAGTTGTAGTTTCCAATATACATCGGAGTAAGTAGAAGTTGACCATATATGCAAGAAAAGAGAGTGGAGGGAGACACAAGATGCATATTGTCTAGCCAGCTGGAAAAATCAATTATGGATGGCGGGAAAAATGATTTAATTTTTTTTGAAAACACTATCCGACGGACACCGATTAAACAATTAAAATATAATTAAGTAATGATGAGTATAATTAATTGAGGAGCAGAAAAATGGTGATTTTGGAATCAATTAGAGAAAGTGGTCATGGGTATTGATTGATTAAAAAGATCGATGATGAATTAATGATCGATCAAGTGATGAAATTAAAAACAGGGAGGTACACGCATACATGCGATATAAGGAAAGAAAGAATGACTGAATTTTTATCATGGATGAATGGAGATTTAAGAATTAGGGACGATGACGGAACGCATCATGTCTTTAAATTCGAAGAAGTCGACCCGACCGTCCTGGTTGCGATCCACAGAGACAATCATCTGCTCGATCCTATCAATCTCGGTTGCCTCCGGCAAGCCCAGCTTTCGCAACACCACCTGCAGCTCGTGGGCCGAGATGTAGCCATCGCCATCTTCATCGAACACCTTGAAGGCCTCGGAGAGGTCTGACTCCTCTTGTGATATCTCGTCAGCGCACTGGTCCTGGTCTTGGTCCTGTTGCTGCCCGCCGCCGCCGAAGAGGGCATCATCTAATGATTGGTGGAGGGCGACAAAGTCCTCAAACTCAAGGCCATCGTTCCCCGACTTGATGTGGGCCTGGATCGTGGAGTCCAACTCCGAGAAGTCAGCATCGAGGCCCAATAGGGTCAATGCTTGGCTCAGGTCATGCACTGTTATCATCCCATCCCCATTTTTGTCAAAGATGTCAAATATGCGGCGGAGACGGAGGGAGTTAAGGCTTGGTGACCTCAACCGGAACGACGACGAGCACGAGCTCTTTAACCTTGCCGTTGACGCTGGAGATGCCGACGAATCTTCCATGCCTGAAGCACCTACGTATTACAACTGACCAATATGTAGCAGCCCTCTATCTGTGACTTTTTATTCACGCACATTTACAGATGTTAAGTTACTGTAACTAGCAAGCCAATGCCTTTTTCTCGACTATTTCCTCTTGCCAGTAAGAAAACGAGAGGGAGCGAGAGAGAGAGTTGGGATCAAATCAAACAGTTTCTAAATTGTTTGGTGGTTTGAGACCGCCGACGATATGTGTGTTTTGTCGATAGAGGTGACGATTGCAAAGGGAATGACAAGATCAAAATGCCTTGTCGAGGGCTAGAGATTAACCATGGATGACTTTTCTTCCCACCTCCCAAACAAAGTTACAAATCCCCTAACGAGTTGCGAGACTTTTTCTGTATGCATTCCATCAACGCCATTAATTTATGTATGAGATGCATCGCTTTTTACGGCCTACAAGTTATTTGACCTAACTAACTTGGGAAGGAAAATTCACCCGTCTCTCGTGTTCGCTGACTTTCTTTGTTGTTGACTATTCTTTTTCCTTTCTATTAAAGTAACAAAATTATTCACCCTTATTAAAAAAAATGGGAAAGGAAAATTTTCCATGTGTTCAGAGACCGGGTCCTTAACTGTTTCTCCTTATCTCACGCCTCTCAACTACGCCCCCCTCTTCTTTTCTAATTTCGTGTTATTTATTAGAGACAAAGAAAAAGAAACTTACACACAAAAAATAATTTGTTTTTTTTTCAAATGTATTTGTTTCTCTATAATATTAAACTATCACATAGCCTAGCATGTTTGGCAAAGAGCTCCATACTTTATTTACTAAGAAGAGGTTCAAAACTTAGTATTTAACCGGATAAAAACGTTCAGAGAACCAGTCCCCTATAGTTTACACAAAGATATGATTGCCTCATTATAATTCTGGAAATTAATGGTTTTTTAAGAATTCTATATCGCTTCTACATATTCAATACTATAATTCGATATGATATATTCTAACCAACAATATTTTGGTTGTGATTTTATGGTTATCGTTTATTTATAAGATAGATAAAATTTTAAATTAAGTATTAAACTATAATTAAAATAAAAAATATTAAAATCTAAGTATCAAAACACCAAATAAGTACTTACAGAATATATATTGGGCTAGCAAACTGTTGAAAAGTTCTGTGATTTTTATATTTTAGCTTCATATATATTTTTAATTTAAAAAAATACAACAAATCTACATAGTCTGATTGATTTTAAACCTTCACTTTGTTTGAAGTGAACATGATTCAAATCTCAATATGTCTATCTTTTTCTATAAATAAATAAAAAATACAGATAATTGTGAAGACAAAAATGTCCTTCCTAATTTCCCTCTCATTGCAGGAAATTTGAAAAGGGAGATTAAGTTTCAAATAATTAAATCATATACCCTAAATCTATAGAACTTAAATCCTAAGATCACATAATCAATGATTCTGATTCACCAAGATGTATACAACATACCATATACACTATATTAGGATTTAGAGAATTATGATATAGGATTTAGTTACGTGATTAATCTATGGTCTAAATAATGTTATTTAACCAATGAGATGCAATAACTCTCAATCCATCGAGCGTAAAATAGAATTTCCAATGTATGTACACATACCATTGTTTGTTAAATTTAGTCAATGATAATTGAATCATTTGACAATGATATTTAGTCTTTCAATTATATGCTTATAATTGTCAACCATTAAGACAATTGTTAGCCAATGATTTTTGGTCATTCAATTATAGCATTGAAAATATCTCGTTAGAAAACCATAGATCATCAAATGTCAAACTTTATATTTTGAAATAAAATTTTGTATAGCACTTATGTAAATAATCCTTGTATTCCTACAAAATCATGTAACCTAATAAATGTATAAGTTGTAAGACATACATAAACTCAAAATGTGTAATTTGATTCTTGGTGAAGAGTTGTGTGATTAGAGGAACTCACTTAGTTGATTCATAAAGCTAGGTATATCATGATGATTCACTTTGTAAATAATTAAAGTTATTAATTAATTCGACGATTGATTGTTGTGGTGGATAGTCGTATGATTTTGAGATATTTCAGTATTTTCTCACTTTTATTCAAAAAAAGCATAAACATTATTGTAGTCCGGTTGGTTAGGGATATTGACTCTCAATCTGAAGTACTCGGGTTCAAGTCTTCGTAATGACATTTTTTCTCGTAAAAAGATATTTAAGTTCTATGTTGGGTTTGGGATTAGAAAATTGGGGTCTAGGGTTATAGTATGCTCCAGGAGCACACGAGACTGACACACACGCTCATTATCATATATATATATATATATATACGACTTTCGTCGAATACGGCTTTCCACAGAATTCTATATGTATCTATGAGATCGAGTATGGAATTCTGTTTACTCACTTTAAATTGAGTATCCGTTTCCCTCCTTTTCCTGCTAGGATTGGAAATCCTGTATTTACATATCCATACGATTGAGTCCTTGGGTTTCGGAAATAGTGTAAAAAGAAGTGCTTCGAATCATTGCTATTTGACTCGGACCTGTTCTAAAAAAGCCGAGGCATTTCGAATTGTTTGTTGACACGGACAAAGTCAAGGAAAACCTCTGAAATTTTTCCAATATTGGACCTTAGACATATAATTAGCATAGTTCCGAATCGAATCTCTTTCGAAAGAAAGATATTTTGTCTCATGGTAGCCTGCTCTAGTCCCCTTACGAAACTCTCGTTATTGGGTTAGCCATACACTGTACATGTATATATATATATATATATATATATATATATATATGGTGCATTCTACGGTACCCCGGGTGAAATCCGGGGTACCACATGCCTTGAGTATGAAAACGCTATCTAGACCTCGAATTAGCAGGATTTTTGGGCATGATATTATACCCTAACGCTTATTGAGTGAACCCTAGGTCCTAATTATCTAAATCATAAACTATAAACCCTATGATGGTGCATTCATTTTTTTACCTATATTTGGACGAATCATAACCGTCGATTATTGTTTCTAATTAAATTGATCTTGGGGTATAAGATTTAGAGAAATAAGACCTAGATTTTGATCTTCAAGGGTTAGAGTATAGTATCATGTCCGAAAGATCAGTCAATTCAGGGTCTAGATAGCATTTTCATACTCAATGTATGCGATACCCTGAATTTCACCCTGGGTACCGTAGAACTCGCCATATATATATATGCTCATTCTCAAATTCAACTACATATTAAAAAAAACCGCCCTATCTATATAAAAAGTCAATGAAGAACTATAGGGAATTGAGATTTGCTTCCCATAATACAAGTTCAATCAATCTTGACAACACAAAAAATTGGTGTTATTAGTCATTCCAATCTAAGTATTCACGAGGGACAAGCTCAAGACATGGGGAGTAACAACTAACGATCTTTGTGTTCTTTGTGCAACAGCTAGTGAATCTCGAAAGCATTTGTTCTGTGAGTGTCCTTTCACTTTTGCATTTATCTCTAGCCTTCTCAGAACCAATATATGACGTGGGAGGAAATGATGATATTGATGTCTCACAAAGCTAAACGAAATGACTACAGAAGTTTTCTTGAGTGTTCCATCTGGTGCTGGTCTTTATCATTCATTTGGCGAGAGCGTTGTAGAAGAGTATTTAGAGAAAGCCCTAGACAACTAGAGCTCTTATCTTCCATGATGCAAGAAGAAGTTCACTTGTTTAGTAGAGGCAATATTGAGTTCCAGTGCATACTCCAGAGTGTGCCTGATTTATATAGGATCATTGATCCATAGTAGATAGTTTCATTCCTATTTGTATCTGATGACTCGATATTTGCACATGTTTTCCCCTTTGTTTCTTGACTGTCTGAGCTTTAATTATCGCGTCTTTGGAATATTTTACGCTAGGTTGTGTTCCTTTGTCACATTTCAGGTCCTAGCACATAAAGTGAAGCATAGGCGCAAGCTTCAAGTCAATCAGAGATCAATTGGCGATTAGGGAGAAGAAACTTGGGCATGAACTGAAGAAGAATGGATTTTTACCTCACTTTATGGACAAATAATCATGCAAGCTTGTTATGAAACGAAAGAGGACGAGACTACGAGCGTCTGGGATCAAACAGCGACTGATTCGGAGTCCGGACGAGGGAGAAACGAAGCATTGAATATAGGGGAACAGGTTCGGCAGTAAAAACACGGGCGAGCCTAAATAAAAACACGGTCGTGTCCATATTTAGGCACGACCGTGTTTTGGCCGACGAGGGCTGCTGGGGGCAAAACACGGGCGGGAAAAAGTAAAACACAGCCGTGTCCTTGACCGTGTTTTGCCCAGAATCGGGTTTTTAGGCAGATTGAAGCCAAAGGAAATGGAGAGCTGGGTTTTGGATCCAAAACACCCAAGGGACGAACCCTAGAGAGAGAGAGCGACTTGGGAACATTCCAGGAGCTATTTTGGAGGATTTCTTTGCCATTGGATCTCGGGAATCAAGCTTGGAGATGGAGATTGAAGATCTAGATTAGATTTCTGCAGTCTCTCTCTTCTCTATGGAGTAACTTCCCTTCACTTAGGTTTTGAGGAACCCTAGCTATGTTTGTTTGATTGTATGAGTACTCTGACTTGATAATCTTGAGTTCATATTCAATCTATGCATGTTTTCATGATTCAATTCTGCTTTAGTCGAGATTATTGATTCTGCTTTCATCCCATGAGAGCGAATACCTGATTCGGTCAATAGAGCATCATAGATTGATAGTATTGGATCGATTGCTTTAGTCGAGGGTTGATTCACTGCTTTGTATCGATTGAGAACCTCATTCGTTAGAGGGAGTCTAGTTCAGAACACCTTGATCGATTGTTCTAGAGAAGGATACGTCCCTCTAGGCAATTGACTCAAGAGGGCCTTGTTCCTTTAGTCGAGACTCAAGGTCTAGTCAAGGATTCTCCGCATTGTGAATGAAAGTGAAACAAGTTAGAGATCATCAATCGTTAATCTGGCTAGTGGCTAGGGGGAATCATACCTAAGTGAGTTCCCAACCTATAATTAGATTAACTTTAACTATAGTTTGTTAGAGTAGTTTTAGTTCTTCCATCTTAATCTGGTTTGCTAGATAATGAACTGAAGCTGAGTAATAGTAACTCTAGAGACCCATGGATTCGATATTTATTACTTGAGCCACTATACTGCAGTCCTTTTCATTGGTTACACTTGGCCTTTGTTAGGAGTTGTGTCATAGCGAGTCAAGTTTTTGGCGTCGTTGCCGGGGACTTTCTAGATTATTAGGAAAGGCAAAAGTTTATTACTTTAGCGTTTTTCTTTTCTTTTCCACCCTTGCTTTTCACTTGGGTGTTTTTGTTTTTGTTGCTGCAGATCTGAATCATGGATCCTCATGGCTTCTCCAACCATTGGGGGTATCCGCCACCGTCCGAGTGGTATTACCCCGAGACCCCCAGGAGCAATCAAGGAGGAGAAGACTATGGATTCGGGTTCCAGTACCAACCCCCTTACTACGGTGAACAATCAAACCCCTAGGCATATCAAGAACAACCTCATTATCAATAAGAATTTCTCCCACAACTAGAAGGGCCATCGGCGCTGGAGTTACCCATGGCGGCCTTCACGGGCCATTCTGCAGAGCCATGCTACACTCCACAGCCAGATCCAAACTATGAATTGAGACTTCTCATGGAGCAGTTTGCTCGGGACTCCGAGAGACGCAATCGCAAGATGGACCTCCTTTTCTCATCTTTTGCTCCTCCTTACTCTTCATCCCTCCGTGAACCGTAGGAGACTGTTTCGCACTCATCAAAGCAACCACAGCGGGTTGAGCAAGTTTGTGCACAACTTGCTCAAGATCACCTGTCTGCTACCATACTAGAGGAGGAGGAGGAAGAAGAAGGCTATAAGAACATTGTGGAGCAAACAAAAGTTATCACGGAGAGCTCACGTGAAGATCATGATCAAGAATGTCCTGTCGTAGCCGACCACCCCTTCCCACATCCCACACCGAGATTTGAAGAGGTGGGCATGAGTGAGGAGATGCAAGAAGATCTCATGAAAGAAATTGCTTGGCAACTTGCTCTCCAATCCATGCTAGAAAAAGAATAGCAAGAAAGGGTGCAGAAAGAAGTTGTGGAGGATGACGAAAGTGAAGCAGAAGGAGTTCTTGATCATTTCCCAGGGGTGATAGCACATGAAGAAGAAAGGGGGGTTGAAGAAGCAATTGGCGTCCAGGTCGAGGACAGAGTTGAGGTGGAAGAGGCTTGCACCGGCCATGAGTTACATGTGATATCTCCACCAAACTTCGAGCCACTCCACGGCAGTGAATCTCGATTTCTCATAGATATGGAATCGCGAGTTAGCTAGAGCTCGCATGCAGTGGAGAGTCTCGATGATTTCGTTTGGTCGTGCTCCATGTCGACACTGATCTGTCATGTAGTTAGATAAAATTTACCTGGCCCTAAGGCCAAGATCGTATTCCCTTGAGCCTCTCACAAAACCCTTACTTTCGAAGCGAGGTACGATTCTTTTGAAGAAGAGGTCGATTTAGAAGGTTGAGGTTCCTACGTTTTAGCATAACTTAGGCGTTCGAAATGGAAAGCAGGTGCAGAAAAGTAAAACTACGCTACTAGAGATGTAAAAGAGTAGAGAAGTAAAGCATTGCATAGGCATCGATTCGCCTAGGTCCTCTAACCATGTGCACTCGATGATAGGAGAATACAATGCTTAGTTGAACCTCTAAAATATGAGTTTACATGGCTAGAAAGATTTTGTAGGTTCAAGCACTCGCAACTAAGAAACTTAGTTGACCATGGGTAGGGTGTCCTAGCATTCATCATTGAAAAAGAAGACTACAGAGCACCAGAAAAATCGACGGCCATAACAAAGAAAAAAGGCCCAGTGGCACCGGTTTCACTGCCAATTTTCCCTTAAAGGTAGCTTTGCTCTAAGTTAGGAGGGTTGCTTTGTTGGTAGACTAAAGACCATTCCTTGGCCTCTCGTGTCTTTCTCTCGAACTCTAACTATTCCCTATTTATAGATTTTCCATTAGGCTTTATGATGACTTGATATATACACATGTTTTTTTTCACCATTCTTGTACCGTTTGAGTCTTATTTCTCGTGTTTTAGGTTGATTTCACGCTAGGTTGTTCTTGTTTGTGATATTTCAGGTCCTAGTACGTGAATGAAGGTTTGGGAACGAGTTCGGGGTCGATTGGACGAAGATTGGACGTTTGGCGAGAAGCTGAGGAAGCCACACGGGCACGCCCAGAATCCCACACGCCCATGTGATTTGGCCGTGTGGGCTAGGGATGGCAACCAAACCCGAACCCACGGGTACCCACCCGACCCAACCCGGTCAACGCGGGTAAAATCCGTGTTGACGGGTTTTGGGTCGGGTTTGGGTTTAAACCCGTTCACTATTTATCGGGTTGGGTTTGGGTTTAGGTAAACCCGACCCGTGGGTACCCGCCCACACATATAATTAATTTTCTCGGTATATTTAATATTTTAAACAACTAATCTTATTTATGTTTGTGGAGACATGTCTAATTTTTTTCTTTCTAATTGTGTAGAATGAAGTTTGTGTTATCGAGTGGAGAATGAAGAAACTTAATTGAAAGGAAGAAGCCTTCAATTAATCATGTTATTTATGGATAATTTATAATTTACTTCAATTTTCTTGAGTTTTCTAGATTGGTGTTGAACAATTTGTATAGTCAATTTGTGATTTGCTTGAATTTTCTGGAATGGTGTTTTAAATATGGATAATTTGTATTGAGAGATTGATATTTGACTTTAATTTTGGTAGGAACTTGTTATTGTAAATTTTTTACGACAAAAACCCGTGGGCACCCATGAACCCGCGGATACCCAGCGGGTTGGGTTGGGTTTGAGTTTTTCAAACCCAGTGGGTTTTACCCCGGGTTTTTTTCACGGATAAACCCATGGGTTTGGGTTTGGCAAAACCCGACCCAACCCGACCCATTGCCATCCCTACGTGTGGCACCATTTTGCACGGGCAAGCCACACTGGCCGTGTAGGGGACCCCTTGTGGCCATGTGAAAAGTCCAGGGAGCTCACACAGCCAGCCTGGAAATCCACACGGTTGTGTGTCCCTGGCCGTGCAGCATGCCTGAAAACCCACTAATCGAAACGCCGCATTTTGACATCCACACGGGCAGACTGGGAGACTACACGGCCGTGTGGTCGGGGAATTCTGGGTTTTAACCCAATTTCGAGCCAAAAGTGAGAGAATCGACTTTTTGGAGCAAAAACAGAGCCCTATAGAGAGAAAGTGCGAAGAACACATCCTAGAGGTGATTTTGGAGTTGGGTTTCATCAATCGAGCTTGGAGATCGTCATCCCATAGCAGATTTTCCTCATCTTTATGAGTATGACTACTCTGATTACTGTTTTCCTCTCTCTCTCTCTCTCTCTCTCTCTCTATGGAGTAGAACCTTCTCTCACTTGGGTATGAAGAACCCTAGTACCATGTGTTAGGGATCTTGATGGTAATGACTTGAGATTGTTATACTGTTTGATTTTAATTGATTGATGCATGATTCATTAAGTCAATTGAAGTCTGATCATCTTTTCTTGATTTCTGCTGCAACCTGAGATAGATAGAATCTGATTAGGTTGTTAGAGCTTCATCAATCGGTAGTGGTAGATTGGTTATACGAGAGTTAATCAATCTACTGCTTTGTACTGGAACCCAATTCCAGTAGTGGAGTTCTGTGCTTATTGCCTCGGCAGTCTATCCCGGTAAAGGTTAGTCGCCTGCCGGTTAGCCTGCTTGAGAGGGCTTGGTCAGCTTGAGAGATTCCAAGCTACTGTCAGATCTTCCGCAGTTTAATCAACAGTTAATCAACCCAGGGTAATTACAACTGAGACCTAACTAAGGAGCTAGGGGGACTCATTCCCGAGTGACTCTTCCTTTGCTTTATAAAACAGAACCATTTCCTGCTTTCTTACTGCTTTTAGTTAAAATCACAATCACTCAACTTAGTTTGCTAGATAACAGATATACACGGAGTAGGCAGTAGATCTAGAACCCGGGTTGACAATTAGAGCTTGCTTGTTACTGCATTTCCTGACTGCGATTACACTTGGTCGCAGTTTGATGTTGTGTTTTAGCGAGTCAAGTTTTTGGCGCCATTGCCGGTGACCCTCTAGGTTATTAGGGAAACGTGAAAGTTTGTTACTCTAGCTTTTTCTTTACTGCATTTTCTCTCTTCCACCTGTGTGCCTTCACGGGTTGCTTTTGGTGATTATGTGCAGGTAGTGCATGACCTGTAGCCAATCGGGAGATTTACTACCATTAGACCAAGAGCTTGAACGAACCTGTAGGAACTTCAAGCGGGCTCTAAAGGCGCGACTGGCTACGGAGGAGGCCTTAGCACAACTGCAAATCACCGAGGAGGAAGAGATGGGTGACCCATAGGACCATCATGTGGTCCTTCCCGAGGAGCAAACCATGGGATATTACTGGACCGCCAGAGCCTCGGACATGAGGTCGCCCATTAAGCACCCTCATGTACCAGCGAATAACTTTGAGGTGAGCACCTCTATAATCACCATGCTGCGCGGTTCGGTGGTATTCCGTGGCACGGAGGGGGAGTGCCCCCGATCACACCTGAGGCGATTCCACGAGCTCATCGAGGGACCAAGATCAATGGGTCCCAGCCAATGCTATCCAGCTGAGGTACTTCCCATTTACTCTGGAGGGGTAAGCCAAGGATTGGCTAGACACTTGACCTCCAGGCTCGATCACCACGTTCGCCAACCTGGCGGATAAGTTCCTCACCAGCTACCATCTTCCGTCCAAGACGGTTGACCTGCAGAAACAAATTACCCACTTTGCTCAGGATGAAGATGAGACCATTCGGGATGCTTAGGAAAGATACACCAGTCTTTTCCTCAAGTGTCCCAACCATGGTTTTACCAACGCCTTCAAGGTGGGCACCTTCTACCATGCCCTCTTCCCGGAAGACAAGCAGCTGATTGACTCGGTTTGTGGCGAGAATATGCTCACCAAAAACCGCCACAAATGAATCAAAATTTTTAAGAGATGGCAGAGCAGGGCTGTGATTGGGGAACTGCGAGGAGATCGAGACGAGCACCAGGGCGGGGTGTGCATGCTGTAGCCACCCAGTCATCTGATTTGGTGCAGGTGGTATCGAAATTGGTTTCAGCCATCGATCGCTCTGGGATAATTGCAGGTACAAGACAGCAGCAGGCAATGCACTGTCAGTGGTGTGAGACAGTGGTGTGAGAGCTCCCATCACACCGCAGGGGACTGTCAGGCAATGAGGGAGTCGTCTACTCCCCAAGAGCAGGTGGACTTCATCGGCAATGCCAGGCGCTTCGACCCCTACAACAACACTTACAACGAGAGGTGGCGCCAGCATCCCAACTTCTCCTGGGTTGGGGCAAATTCTAGACCACCAGTCCCCCAGGGACCACCTGGCTTCCAGAGGCCTCCTTACTAGCCCAGACAAGGGCAATTTCAGTAGACGCAGCAGCCTCTCTACCCGCCCAGACAGGGGCCAGTTCCACCTCAGTCACAGGTGCGGCCATTTCATCATACAGGGTAGGGCTGGCCATTTGGACCGGGACCGGATAAAAAACCGGAAATCGGACTGCATAACCCGGACCATTTAAGACCGGGACCGGATGTAAAACAATCCAATCCCGTCTTTGGTCTTAGAATTAGCAAAAAACCCGGACCAATCCAGTCCGGGTCAAAACCGTGTAAAAACCGGAAGACCGGATTAATAAGAAACAGACCAGACCCAAAAGACAAAGCCCATATGGGCCAAGACAAGCCCACTCTCACTACCCCCCAGCGGCCCAAGCCGGCCTAGTCCATCTAGGGTTGCAGGAAGCCTCGCTCGGCCTCTCGCCAGTCGCCCTCTCCATCGTTCGCAGTCGCAGGCCAAGTATTCGCCAACCATCACTTCTCCCATCCCAACTTCGCACAGCAGCCGCCGCCGACCCAAACCCTAAATCGACCGCAGCGGCCAGCGAGTGCTCCTCCGCGACCGCGAGACCGCGACCAGCCGACCACCTCCGCTCCGATTCTCCTCCGCGCGAAGCAACGCCTGCATCATCCATCCCGATTCTCGTCCTGCGAAGCCGGCCTCAGCAGTCGCCTCTGACCCAGCAACGCGGCGAGTCGACGCCGACCTCGGCTCTGACCCAGCAAAGCAACGCCTGCCTCGGCTTTGTCCCAGCGACGCGACGCAGGCCTCCACTCCAAGCCTCCGACCCAGCGAGGCAGTGCTCGTAACCACCAGAGTCCGCAGCTCGTCGCCCTCCGTCCAATCTCGTCGCCCTCTGTCCAGAGTCTATAGCTCGTCGTCGCCCTCCGTCGAGATTGTTTGGGTCAAAACAGAGTCTATATGCTGCTGAATTTTCTGCAACATGGTCAAAATGGGTCAAAACAGGTCAAAACCGGATTGGGATTGGACTGGGTCAAAACCGGACCGGGTTAAAACCGGACTGTACCCAATCCAAGCTTTGGTCCCTATATTTTCAAAAAGACCGGACTGGACCGGATCAATTCGGGCCAATTTAACCGGACCGGACCGTATAGCCACCCCTAATACAGGGGCAGCACCCGCAGCCCTAGTACAGAGTAACCCGATGGCGGAATTGCGAGATCTGGTGGGCTCTCTGGCCACCTCTAGTGCAAACAAGTTCAATAATATCGAGTAGTTCATGGAGAAAGCTTCAGGTAAATTCTTGGATCTAGAAGCTGGCTAGAGAAACACACAGGCTGTGTTGCGGGACATCCAGACCCAGCTTGGGAGTGTGGCCCAGGCTGTAGCTCAGAGGACTCCTGGTACTCTACCCGGTCATACCATCCCTCATCCATAGGATCAAATGAGCACTGGAAGGCCATCACTACCAGGAGTGGCAAGATGATTGTTGATCCACCTGTTCAGGCACAAGAGAGAAGGACCCCTGCTTCAGCACTTCCAGCTAATGAGGAGGAAATGGAGAAGGAGGTTGAGGTGCCTACTCCTAAACCGCAACCAGTGGTGAAGGAGTATGTACCGCAACTTCCCTTTCCTACTCGGTTGCACAAAGACCGACTGGAGACTGAGTTTGCCAAGTTCATGGCAATGCTGAAGCAGGTAAATATAAGCATGCCCTTCGTGGAGGCATTATCGAAGATGCCCAAGTATGCCAAGTTCATGAAGGATCTCCTCACCAACAAGAGGAAGCTTGGGGAGCTGTCAACGATGATGCTCAACGAGGAGTGTTCTGCCATCCTGCAGAACAAACTACCAGAGAAGCGAAAAGACCCAGGGAGTTTTACTATCCCTTGCATGATTAGTAGTTTGCATATAGGGAAGTCCTTGGCGGATTTAGGCGCTGGCATAAATGTCATGCCATATAAACTGTTTAAAAAGCTAGGCCTAGGTGAACCCAGTGATACTAGGATGAGTATTCAACTTGCTGATAGATCCATTGTGCATCCTAGGGGCATTGCAGAGGACTTGATAGTCGCAGTAGGGCCATTCTCATATCCTGTTGATTTTGTGATTTTTGACATAAATGAGGATGTGGATGTGCCTTTAATATTGGGTAGACCTTTTCTCGCCACCGCCAAGGCGCTCATTGATGTGAATGATTGGAAATTGATTTTGCGAGTTGGGGGTGAATAAATCACCTTCTCTGTTTCTGATAATATGAAACACCCCCAGCTCCATGATGATCTAGACTACTGTGATGTTGTTGCTGATTTTGAGACCGCACTCGTGATGATGTTGTTGCTGACGATTTCCTCGAGCGTTGTCTTTTGCTAGGGGAACAGGCATCACAGGATGTGCAGCTGGAGGAGCAGCTCGCAGAGCTAGACGAGGTCGCGATTGAGGGGCGAGAGATACCATTCAAGCCGATCCCTATCTCGCCCCGGATCGCTACATCATTGGAGGAGCCGCCAAAGCTGGAGCTTAAGCCCCTCCCCTCTCACCTGGAGTATGCATTTCTCCAGGAGGGAAATAAGCTCCCGTTCATTATCTGCTCAGATCTGACACCCGAGCAGAAGAGCAGGCTGGTGGCTCTACTGCAGAAGTATGCCCGGGCCATGGCATGGAAGATCACAGATATAAGAGGCATTAGCCCATCCTTCTGCTCCCACAGAATTCTGATGGAGGATGAGGTTAAGCCAGTCAGGTAGCCACAACGGAGATTGTCTCCCAACTTTGAGGCAGTGGTCCGGGCAGAGATTGTGAAGCTAATGGATGCAGGGATCATCTTTGTTATATCTGATAGCAAGTGGGTCAGCCCCACTCAGGTGGTCCCGAAGAAAGGCGGGATGACTGTGGTCCCGAATGAGAAGAAAGAGCTGATTCCGATGCGGAACGTGATCGGCTGGAGAGTCTGCATCGATTACCGGCGCCCCAACGATGCCACCAAGAAAGACCATTTTCCTCTACCCTTCATTGATCAAATGCTGGAGAAGTTGGCTGGCCATGAGTTTTATTGCTTCTTGGATGGCATGTCTGGTTATTTCCAGATTCCTATCGCACTAGAGGATCAGGCGAAGACCACATTCACTTGCCCCTTCGGTACTTTTGCTTACCGGAGGATTCCATTCGAGCTGTGTAATGCACCGACGACCTTCCAGAGATGCATGCTGGCGATCTTCGACCGACTTGTCGGAGAGATCATGGAAGTCTTCATGGATGACTTCTCGGTTTATGGAGACTCCTTCACTCATTGTCTCCATAACCTAGAACTCGTTCTGAAGAGGTGCGAGGAGACTAATCCGGCACTCAGCTGGGAGAAGTGCCATTTAATGTCCGTGAGGGGATTGTGCTCGGGCTGTCGGGCACAAGATCTCCAAGCAGGGAATTGAGGTGGATCACGCGAAGATTGAGACGCTTCCTGGGTCATGCAGGCTTCTAACGGCGCTTCATTAAAGATTTCTCGAAGATTGCCCTGCCTCTGACCAAGCTGTTGGAGAAGGATGCACCATTCCAGTTCACTCCTGAGTGCACAGCGGCATTCGAGACATTGAAGGAGAAGCTTACCCATGCACCCATCATGGTGACTCCTGACTGGTCTCTTCCCTTTGAGTTGATGTGCGATGCGAGTGACTATGCAGTCGGAGCCGTTATGGGTCAGAGACGCAGGAAGCACTTCCAGCCCATCTACTACGCATCGAAGGCCTTGAACGACGCACAGTAGAATTACACCACCACTGAGAAGGAGCTCCTCGCTGTGGTGTATGAATTTGATAAGTTCCGACCATATCTGGTGCTCTCCCATGTGGTGGTCTACACAGATCACTCGGCGATTCGCTACCTGATGAGCAAGGCTGATGCAAAGTCTAGGCTCATCCGCTGGATCCTGCTTCTGCAGAAAATTCGATATAGAGATCCGGGACAAGAAGGGAGTCGAGAATGTTGCTGCATATCATCTTTCACTGTTGGAAGCCCCTCCGGTGGACAACTTCGTGGGGGAGATCGATGACTCTTTCCCAGGTGAGCGATTGCTGGCGATGACATTGATGGACAGCATGGCCCCTTGGTATTCTGACTTTGTCAATTATCTGGTGGGCAAGCAGTTACCAAAGGGGATGGCCACTCATGCAAAGCGCAAGTTCTTCTCCGACCTGAAGCATTACTTCTGGGAGGATCCTTACCTCTTCAGGATCGGAGCAGATGGCGTGATCCGGTGCTGTGTCATGGAGCACGAGATGGGAGACATCATGTCTCAATGCCATGAGGGATCTATTGGAGGTCACCATGGAGGAAACCGCACGACGCGGAAGGTGCTACAGTCGGGCTTCTATTGGCCCTCGCTCTTCAAGGATGCAGACACATTCGCACGACAGTGCGATCGCTGCCAAAGGTCAGGTAACATTTCTTCCCGGGATGAGATGCCCCAACATATTTCTGTCATTTGTGAAATTTTTTATGTTTGGGGCACCTATTTCATGGGCCCATTCCCTCCATCCTTTGGCAATTTGTACATACTAGTTGTAGTGGACTATGTCTTGAGGTGGGCAGAAGCTCAAGCCATGCCTACCAATGATGCAAGACGGGTCTGCTCATTTTTTAAGCAGCTCTTCTCCCGGTTCGGGACACCTCGCGCCATCATTAGTGATAGAGGAACCCATTTTCAAGGGCAATTCACTAAACTCCTCTCTCGCTATGGTGTTAAGCATCAAGTGTCGGTGGCTTACCATACCTAGTCAAATGGACAAGCCGAGCTGACGAACCGGGAGCTTAAAAGAATAATTGAAAAGACGGTGGATCAGTCCCGCAAGGATTGGTCCACCAAGCTCGATGATGCTCTTTGGGCGTATAGGACAGCCTACAAAAACCCGATTTGTACTTCACCCTATAGGCTTGTCTATGGAAGGCGTGTCATTTTGCCAGTAGAGCTAGAGCACAAGGCCTTCTGGGCCCTTAAGCTGCTAAACTTGGATTTGAGTGTTGCAGGTACTGAACGTAAGTTGCAACTGCTGGAGTTGGAGGAATGGCGTTACCACGCCTACGAGAACACCCTGCTCTACAAAGAGCGAACCAAGCGTCTCCACGACACTCGGTCAAGGGCCCGAAGGAGTTTCAGGTAGGTGATCGTATTCTGCTCTTCAATGCACGCCTGAAACTCTTCCCGGGCAAGCTACGTTCAAGGTGGTCGGGACCCTTCACGGTCACCCAAGTTTCCCCGCACGGTGCGGTGGAGATCAGCAATGCTCAAACTGAGCCATTCAAGGTGAATGGCCACCTCCTAAAGTTGTACTTGGGAGGTGTTGTCGAGCGCATAGAGCTGCTGATCAAACTCATAAGAGATAAAAATTACCTGAAACCAAAGACATGCACCAGGTCCAAATATTCTCTGGTGCGTAGCCACACCTCTCAAACGCCTCCATGATCGCGGGCCACTCCATCCGTGCCCCAACAAAACCACTGGCTGAAAAAATCAACACATAACTACCACTGAACTCGTCAGCATCTCTGTACAACAAATCATTTAGGGAAAAAAGAAAACGAATCAAATGGAGATGGGGAGAGGAACACCCACTTGAACCACAATATCCAAAAAAATCTGGGTCATAATCCTTCCATGTCCTCTGAAAGGCGTCATTTGAT